GAGGCAGAGGAGGAGGAAGGCGGGGCGAGGGAGATTTCGGGGAGAAGAGAAGTAGTGGAAGGGCAAACACGCGTGCAAACGCCCCAGGAGGCACACACGCCGTTCGATGCTGATCAGACGATCGAATTTCCAACCTCTGTCTCCCCTGCGCGATCGGGCCGTGTTCGGCGAAATCGGACCGCGACTGCAGGTGTTGCGACACGCCCAACCGCCCCGACCCCCCGCTATTTTTCGTCTGACGAATTGGCGAAGCGAACAGACCTGTTCGCTGCCATCGGGAATTGGGACATCACAACACTATGCGACAGTCGTCAGCCTTCGCTGTTGCGGCGCTTACCGCCAAATTTGTGTCATTTGTTCTCGCTGGCGTTACTGACGCCGTTACTACACCTCTCACGAAACCCCGAGTCAGAGACAGGATTGCGCCTGCTGTTGTTTCTCCCGCGCCTAACGCTTCGCCAAACCTCGCCACAACTACCCAACTGGGCGAAAATCAAAGCCCGGCTCCGAGCCTTCCAGCGTGGCGAATGGGAGCAACTGTACCCGGACGCGATGGATGCAGTCAACACGCCACCACCGCCACGACACCGGCCCGATGCGACTGGTGTGATCAACCGAGCTGAGGGTCTGGCAAAACGTGGCAGCCTGCGACGAGCCGTGCTCGCCCTGGAGTCAACGCCCGTCTGCACCCCCAGCCCCGAAATCCTGGAGGAGCTGCGCCAAAAGCACCCACCCGCTGCACACGAGGAGGTGACTTGGCCCACGCCGCGGGGTCAACACTTTCAATCCCCCACTCGGACTTCGCCAAAATGCTGGGCAGATGCGAAAACGGAGTTGGAGCCGGGCCGTCGGGCATGACATTTGAACATCTGCGCGATGTGGCGATCACCATACAATGGTCAGCACCCATCTGCACGCCTTGGTTAACACCATCCTGGGCGGAAATTTGCCAGACTCGGTGGCAAACCTTCTGACCGCATCACGCCTCATCGCTTTGGCCAAGCTGAGGGGAGGTGCTCGGCCAATCGCGATCGGCGAGTGCTTGACGAGGCTAGCAGCCAAGGCAGCCCTGTCAGCAATGGGGGAAGCTGCCCGCAAATTCTTTCTCCCACTACAGTACGGCGTGGCAGTGCCAGGTGGTGCCGAGGCAGTAATCGACGCAGCCAGAGCCTTCCTGGACGCCCGCCCCACCAGCCTCGTTCTGCAAGCCGACATCAAGAATGCGTTCAATAGCATTTCGCGAAAGGCAATTGCCACCGCGTTACAAGCCCCCGCCCTCTCGCCACTACTGCCGCTAGTGAAGTTAACTTACGGTAACCCGTCGTAGCTACTTCTGGATGTCAACTTCAACTCCGAACCACTGAAAAGCGAAAGCGGGGTCCGCCAGGGGGACCCACTGGGCCCGCTTCTGTTCGCGGCAGGGATACATGCCACACTTCGCGAAACAGCAGATTCGCACCCTGGCGTGCTCTGTTTGGCGTATGCGGACACAGAGGATACTGTAGCAGAATTTACCCACTTCACGACCACATTGGCACACTTGGGGCTCGAGCACAACCCACAGAAGTGTGCAGCCTGGAGCTCAAGTGCAGTTCAAACAACCCACCTACCTCCAGGAGTGCCGTTCTCTCATGACGGCATACGGCTACTGGGCAGCTTCACGGGGCCTGATAGCGGCGTGGCGAATTTTCTACCAGGACAGCTGGACGACATGGCAAAGCCGCTGACACTCATCGAACGGGCGGATCCTCAAGTAGCGGCATTGCTCATTACGCAATGCATTTCGAGGCATGTCGCATACCTTACAAGGAAAACGCCCCTACACCTCCTCCCCCGTGACAGATGGAGCCAGTGGGGTATGGATCTGCTCACCACGCTCCTTACCTCATGCGATATCCGCATGCCGACTTGCAGAACTGAGCAAACACGGGTCTGGGAGTAGGCTTTGTTACCGCCGTCACTAGGAGGCCTGGGCATCACGGACCCCCTCATCGTGGGTATTTACGGCTTCACGGCGAGCTTCACTCAGGCAGCGCTCTTTCTTAACGACGTCTCGCTAGAGGAAGAGAACGCACTTACACTTGCACGGAATCACATGCTCCTTCCGCGGGACAGCAGCACGCCATTGCACGCTTGGCTGACGGAGTGTGAGGAGGCGCTACCGTCAGATGCACGGGAGATATTAGAAAAGGAGCGGCTAGAACGATCTGACATCCGACTCTAGCACGTGCTCGGACTCAAGGTGCATGGGAGTAGATACGCCGTGCGGGTACAAGCGACGAGGCGCATGCGGCTGAATCTACTCGCAGGACACACGCAGCGGATGTATTCCTTGACTGGCTACGGCACTGGCGACTGGATCACGGCGGTCCCAGTCGCTCCCATGAGGCGGATAGGGCCGGTGTACTTCGCTAATGTCGTGCGCTTCCGACTTGCCTTGCCATTCTCAACTCCCAAGAACTGTGACTGCTCGGAGCACACGGCCATCACTGACCCCCGCCTTCCAAATCACCTGCTTCGCTGCGGCACAGGCAAGCACCGCACAAACACTCACAACGAGCTGCGGGATGCTTGCGTTAGCATGGCGCTGGATGTGGGCTTTATAGTCCACCGGGAGTCAACCGCATACTGCCCCATCGAAGAGCAAACGGCTGACTTCACAATGACGGACAGGAGCAGCGGAGTAGTTTACATATGTGATGTCACCGACACTGATCCTATAAGCACCAGGGACCCAGAGGCTCAAAAAGGCAGTGGGTGGGCGGCGCGTGAGCAGGCCGACAAGAAGATTAAGCACTATGCCAACCGCCCGGAGACGGTTGGCTTCTTCCCCCTAGCAGTAGACACCTACGACTACCCATGCGCGGAGGTACCCGTCTTCCTCAAGCTTCTTGCAGACTCAGCGGCTCGGCGGCACTTCAACGCCGACTCAAAATCCTTCTTTGCCGCCAAGTTCCTGCATCAGTTCCGGCAGCGATGGTCAGTGGCCCTGCAAAGGGCTCAATCTGTGGGACTCCTAATGAAGTTGGGTGAGGCGGCGACAGCAGAAAACCCTCCGGTGGGAGGCATTGGGCATGAGCTGCATCTGGGGGATTCTTTTGCGGTATTAGAGCCTCTTCTAGAGCTCTAGAGTGTGCATTGGATAGGTTTCTGTTGTTTCGGTTGTTTGCCCTAGTTTGTTTTACCTTGCATGTGTGTACCTTTCTGACCTATCAATATACGGACCATTAGAGAGAGAGAGAGAGAGAGAGAGAGAGAGAGAGAGAGAGAGAGAGAGAGAGAGAGAGAGAGAGAGAGAGAGAGAGAGAGAGAGAGAGAGAGAGAGAGTTTTCGAAAGATTGGGAAGTAGGTTCTCAGCACGAGCAATAAAACTAGAAGGAACGTGTGCATGCTAACAAAGAAAATATACCAATGGAAGAAAACAAATATGTAACAAGAGAAACGAATGGTGGAAACATACGAGGTGCAAGAGAAGTTTATGGCTAACGAAAATACTAACGTTAAGATCAAGATGGGTAAGAAAAACATATGAAAGGCGAAAGGAAAGGAAATGAAATAAATAAACGCACCTAGCTACGAACTCACCGAGATATGCCTAAACCGTGCATAGTTGAATGCGAACGAACGTTGAACGACATTTAAAACTGAAAGACACAAATCTAGTGAAAGACCTAAAGCTAAAGTATCTACAACAATTCTAGAACCTAAGCCTTAAACAACCTGCGGCCAATACTATGTTAAACGACTACGATGTGAGACTAAAAAATGGTAGTCTAGCGTGTAATGATCTAATTTGGCTCAAAATGATATGTTAGGGTTGTTCTTACCTTGCACTAGTAAGTGGAGCGTGTCTGGCGGGGAGCTCAACTAGCAAGAAGGAGCAGCGGGAGAAAAAAGGGACGAACAAACCCTAAGGCAAACTAAGATTCGTCGCAAATGTTATGATCCTATTGTATCCGATGTTTCAAACAAACATCGCTGCTGTCGCAGGCGGATTAGAAGTGAACTCAGATTCTGAAGGTCTCCTGATCGATTCCTGGTAACGCGAAATTTTGAAACTTTGCAAAACTTTGTCCCGCTTAGTGTCATTCTACCGCAAATGTACAGAATTAAAGGTTGTACAAACTTATGTATTTACGCAAAAAGCTTCGCAACCCTAAGACTTTTTAGTCAACTCCTGTTGTTTGTTTGTTTGTTTGTTTGATTGATTTTTTTTTTTTTCCTGGATGCAGAAAAGTACACTACAAGAAATGAACAAGAAGCATCAGGCAGGCGTAACTGTGTCTGGAGGGAAGCGCCACAGTACAGTGTACCGCAGATTCCCTATAACAAGCCTATGGCAGCCGGTGGGTCATCCTCGGGTTGTTCCAGATAGAGCTAAAGCTATCATTCCACGTCAGCAGTACCCCCTTGCTGCAGATTCGTCTCATCACCACCGCCTCGTTTGCTCCCAGGTGCGTCCAACTGTCGCCGCTAGGTGCCACGCCACGCTTTCGTGCCTCCACTTGTTTTGCCAGGCAGCGCACTCTGGCGTGCGCGACAAACTTAACTACCGCTAGGCGCACCACCTTCTTCGGCTGAAACTTGATGTCACGATTTATTGCGTCACACCTTGCCAGCCACACCTGGTGAACTGTGGTGGCAATGAAGGAACTTTCCTGAAAACCGGACTTCGTGCTCCTCTGCATGAAGAGAAGGTCATCCAAGCTCTGCCAGCTCTGCTGCGGGTTCATCGCAGCAAGTCCTTTCCGCAGGAACCGAACCACCTTTTGAATTGCCGAGCAGCCGAGCAGGCAGTGCTCCGGTGTCTCCTCTCCTTTACAGTGTGGGTATACAACCCTATTCTTCAGGAAGAAAAGCCGCTCCCTCTCTTGCAAATTCCTACAGTGCAGCCTCAAGAGAATTTCTCGCGCTCGGGCAGGCGTGGCAAGGGAATCTCTTTGCTTGATGACCCCTTCCTTTGATGATTCTTCCGTCTCCAATCCACCTCCTCTACTCCTTCATAGTGCCTGCCGAGCTAACCAACGCCTTCCTGATTCTTTCAGCGGCACCATCTCCCCATCTTTGCTCAGCTTGGACTGCACTAGCTTTGTCCGCGCCTCCCCCATGAGCCCCAGCACCTTATCACCTTGAGCTGCAACCGGCTCCCCGCTATGTAGCCCGAAATTAACCGAGTAGCGCCTTCCGCTGACTGTAAAAGTCCCGTCGTCCCCTTCTCGGCACATCACCCCCGTCACGCTGCCGCCTTCCGTGCCGATGACCTTCCAGATTGTGGGGTTCGCAGTGTTTTCCCTCTGGTACCGCAGCAGGGGGACCTTGGCCCCTATCTCATCACTTGTCAGGGTTTCCAGCAGCATGTCTCTCCAACCGGCCGGCGCCGCCGCGAAAGCTTTTAGAGCCCACTTTGCCGCTTCCCCACTTCCGAGCTCGCATGCCAAAATCTTTTCGTCCTTCAGCACCCGCGAACCATCAGCCCGCCGCCAGACCAGGTCGCCCATCGTCAACCCCAGCAGGCAACCCGAGCCTTTCTGGTTCGAGAAGGGGCTAGCTCCGCTGAAAGGTATGAGCCGGTTGAAGGCTAGCTGCTCCCGTTCCACCTCCCCGCGGTTTCCCGGCTCCGGGGTGGTGCTGAAGGGGGACTCCCAAAACACCTTAACCGTATCTTTCCACCTATTGCTTCCCTCCATCCAATGTTTGAGCAGAGCTTTATGCGCGTAGACCGTATCCAGGCCCAGGGGCATCGCGGCCGCACGCTCCGTCAGCCACCTCTTAATCGGATTCCCCCGCAACTGCGCCCGGCCTACGTTCTGTACCGCTATGCTGTCAAACCGCTTCTAGGGACATATCATCCCCAATCCCCCTTCCTCCCTGGGCGTGCAGATCAACTTGTGATTCCAAAGAATGAAGACTTTCTCGTCCGTCGCCTCTCCCCAAGACACAAAATTGTGACAAATTTTCTTGATCTTCGTCCATATCTCCTCCGGTAGCGGGTATATGTACGCCTGGAACATGAAGATTGGTGTGATGTAGCCGTTGATTATCATGACCCTTGCTGATGTTATCGAATGCTGCATCTCCCACTTGGCTAACTCCTTGCGCGCTTTATTTAATGCTTTTTCTCATGACGGAAGCGGGTCACCGTTCGGAGTGATCCAGACGCCCAACAGTCTTTCCGGTGCGTCCTTATCAGCCCACTTATACCGCAGGTCTGCCGGTGGCGGCTTCCCTCTGTTCCTCCCGAGCGGGAACACCACTGTCTTGTCCCGGTTCACCTTCAGCCCCAACATCTTCCCGAAACTCTCCAATGCCGCAGCCGCGCCAGCTAGCTGCCCTTCTCCTTGCAAAAGGAGCGACATGTCATCGGCGTACCCCAGATACGCCAACTTCCCAGAGCTCACGTCTCCGATGCCCAGCCCCCGCCTCGCAAAATCCTGGCAAAGCGGCTCCACCGCGCACAGAAAGAGGTATGGTGATAGTGGACAACCTTGTCGCAACCCTTTCTCTACCGCAACCCTGTCGCCTGTCCAGTCGTTGATGTGCAAACGTGTCCCCGAATCTTTGTGCAGGCCCTCTGCCCAGGACACGAACTGCTCCGGAATACCCATTCCTCACAACGTGCTGAAGAGGAAGGGCTGCGAGATGGAGTCAAAGGCTTTCTGAAAGTCGACCATCAGAAGAAGCCAGTCCTCCCTGCCGCTGGCCCCTGCCTCAATGGCGTCAGCGACCACCGCGACTGCATCCGCCAGCTTCCGACCAGGTAACAAACCCACTTGGTTTTCTGAGATCACCTCCTGGAGAACTTTTTTAAGCCTCGTTGCCATGACCTTCGCCAGCACCTTGTACGCCGTGCTTAGCAGCGTGATCGGCCTGAAATTCCCTAGATCCTCCATGCTTTCCTTCTTGTGCAGCAGGATTGTGACCGCGGTGGTGATACTGCGTGGCAGCGTCGCCGTGCGCGTGAAATCTCCCACGAACTGCATCAGAGCCGGGCCAAGCAAATCCCAGTGGTGTTCGAACAGCTCCTTCGGAAGGTCGTCTTGCCCTGGCGACTTCCCCGGAGCCAGCTCACGTACGACAGTCCGAACCTCCTCCTCCAACCACGGCGCGCCCAAGGCGAGGCGGCTGGACTCGCACAAGTACGGCACATAGCCCCCGGCTGCACCCTGTCAGAATATTATGCTCTAGCCTGTAGTGGGGTGCTCTGTAGCGAGTACAACCCTTCTAGGGTTTGCTATTTGTATCCCCATTCTTGCTAGTTCATTCCCTCTTTGCCTAATTCTCTCTTGCCTAGCTAGGTCAACCCTAGCTATGGCTCCTCAGTATACCTACTATCTTGACATGCTATCAGAGCAGGACGATCCTGTTGGGTCGATCCTGTGGGTGGGCCCCACCACCTCAGTCTTCCGCTGCTCCTACTACTGTCTGTGTCGCACGCCCCGTGGCGTGCGACGGATTTTTCATCCCGCCGCGCGCTCGGGGCGTGCGGCGGTTTTCTCCCCGCCGTGCGCCCCGAGGCGCGCGGCGGTTTCCTACCGTGGGGGACCCCGCGCGCCCCCGCCCTTTCCGTTGCGACGTCCTGGGGAGCCGCGCGCGACCCCCCGCGGCCCCGATTTCCCGTCGCGCCGCCCTGGGGAGCCGCGCTCGGCCCCCCGCTACCCCGATTCGCCGTCGCGCCGCCCTGGGGAGCCACGCGCGACCCCTCGCTGCCCCGTCGACGGCCGCGACGCCCTGGGGAGCCGCGCGCGGCCCCCGATTTCCCGTCGCGCCGCCCTGGGGAGCCGCGCGCGACCCCCCGCTGCCCCTTCGCGGCGCCCTAAGGAGCCGCGCGCGGCCCCTCGCTGCCCCGTGGTGGCGTCCTGGGGGCCGCGCGCCGTCCCCCTCGCCGTCCCCCGCGCTCCTTCCCCCGTTCCGCCCGTTTTAGGGTTTGGGGGTGAGGAGCGTAGGGGTGGCGACTATGGGGGTGTCGGTTGTGAGTTCCTCCCCCTGCTCCTCCTCCTCCCTAGTCTCCCTCTGCTACAGCTGCCGCTGAGGGGGGTGGTGTGTGGGAGCCTAGGGTTTGGGGTTTAAGGGGGGTACCGTGGGAGTGGAGCTAGGGTTTGAAGCAGGGGGTGTGTGTCGAGGGGTGTGGGACAGTTGGAGGAGGTTGAGCGGAGGCCGCCGTCGTGTCGTCCGCAGCGCCTGTATTCCGGGGTTCGATTAGCCACCGGTAGCTCAGAGAGCCGGTTGCACCTGTCGCCCGTGGGTCCGTTGCTCCTGTCGCTGCTGATCAGACGCAGAGCCTGTTACTCCTGTATTCCGGGGCCCTTGCTCCCGGTAGCCACTAGAGTTGCACCAGAGCCGTCTGTTGCCCGTGTGTCTGCAGCTTCAGTCGTCGCCTCCACTCTTCTCTCCTCTCGCCAGCCCTCCTCCTCCTCACTTGCCCTCTGTGACTGCCTCTAGCTTTGCTCATAATTGTGAACTTTAAACTATTGCTTACATGAACTTGTGCTCAGAATGTGTGGTGACATTGTGATCCACCCTGAGCTTGTACTGCTTTGTTTCCTCTGCTGATTACACCCCACTTTGGCTATGGGGGTGTGTCAGAATATTATGCTCTAGCCTGTAGTGGGGTGCTCTGTAGCGAGTACAACCCTTCTAGGGTTTGCTATTTGTATCCCCATTCTTGCTAGTTCATTCCCTCTTTGCCTAATTCTCTCTTGCCTAGCTAGGTCAACCCTAGCTATGGCTCCTCAGTATACCTACTATCTCGACACACCCCTTGAGCATCTGCCTCTCCGCTCCCACCGAAGGAATCAATGAAAAACTCTGTCGCTGCCGTGAGTACCTCCCTTGCTCCTGAGTAAGTAATCCCTGAACTGCTCTCATCGCCGTTTTGGCTTTTTGCACCTTTATTGGCCCAGACAGAAACTCAGAAGTCGTCACTCCGTCTAGCTCCGCCTTGACCCCGAGCCATTCCTGCAGTTTCTTTTGATGGCTCTTCTCGTATGCGTCTAGCAGCTCCTCCTTTTTTAGCAGGATGGCGCCCATCCGTTGACAATCCCGGTTCTGCGACAGCCGCTGCTGGTAAAACCGAACTTCCTTCTCCATATGCTTTTTAGTCGCTCTGACTCTCTTCCTCTCCTCCCGCGTGTACGCCCGGAGACACGACGTTAGCCGGGGCAACAAAGCGCCGAGATCACCATTCGCGTCCTTGAGCGCAAGCTCTGCCCGCTTCCTGACCCCATTTTTCTTTGCCTGCGCAGCCCGCAAACGCCAGATGCCAAGGCCTCTTTCAATCGCTGCAGACGACTCCAACGCTACTACCACCGCGTTCCAGTTATCCGTCATTTTATTCGTTATTTCAGCGTGCCGCACTTCCACCAGCTTGCTCAAAAGCGGTTGTGTCACCAGCGCGCGATCAATCCTGGTGCTCAACCTCTTCTTTTCTTTTGCGTGAAAAGTGTACTCCCTCTTCCCAGGGTGCATGAACCGGAAGGCATCAGTAAGCGGGGTGTTCGCCGAGTAACTCATCAGCCTCTGGTTCTCCGCCGACGACCCCACACCTGAAGATTGTCCAGCACCGGGTCCTCCACCACGTTCAGGTCCCCCATCACCATGACATTCGGGAGCTTCGGTAAGGTGCTAAAAAACGGTTCCAAGCAGTCCCTGTAAAAGGGTCCCCTGTTCTCTGGTTGCGCCGGTAAGTATAACGCTACAAGGAGCATCTCCAGATCTCCCCATCGGATCACCACCCCCGGTATCCTCCCTGAAGCGTATGTGAAGGCACCCGTGAAGGTCATCCCCCGCACAAAACTCATCACCGCCACTCCCCTTGCCGATCCTGTTGGCCCCATAGCCAGCACCGCAGACGGCTTGGCCTGTGTCCAGAAATTGTGATCAGCCTGCAAACGCGTATCAGTGAGTACTGCAACATCTGCTTTCGCCTTGTTCTTTATGTTTGATCTGCTTCCCTTCACTGTCGAGCCCGTTGATGTTAAGCTCACAGAAGGTGATTGAGTTCCTTTTATTCTTAAAAAAACATGAGTCGCCCCTTCGCATCCACGGGCATAGAAACGGTACATGATTTCTGACACCTATGCGCCGCTGACTCCGGCCGCACCACCTAGCCGCACATCATCAGAGCTCCCTCTACTGCCACACTTGCAGCAAACGATATAAGCACGTGATCCGCCCCCCTTCTGAGCAACAGCAGATATGGACCTCCTGCCCAGCACATCGCGCACCCAGTAGACTACTTGGTGAACTCCTTCCGGAACGCAGCCAGATTGACCGCACCCTTGCTGGCGCGGGTGGCAGCACCCGGCTTCGCCAGGTTCGTCTTGTGACGGAGCGACGCAACGTGAGCAGATGCCTGCTCGAAGCTGACGCCTTGCGCTTTGTCGCAAGCAGCGACAACACACACCCAGTCCTCCCGCGACCCCCCTGTGGAGGTGAGAACAATGGCTGGGTCCTTCAAAATGTCCTCGTAAGCGCTGTAACTTTCAGCGAAGCAGCTGCGAGGAGGGATGTGAACCGATGCGTCAGTAAAAGCCGGGGAAAAAAGTAGGAGCGACAAAGGTAAGAAAAACGTCACACTTATACCATTGATCTCATGAACCTTCCTGACAGACAAGGTCCATTTGCCAATGCTGGATTGACGCTCCGTAACATAAGCGTTGTGGTATTGTGTCATGTGCTGTCCCTTGCA